ATTACGTATTCTGTTAGAACTCAATGATTATCCTAATTATATTTTAGATTTTTTATATTTAAAATAAGATGTTTATCTTGTATTTGATTATGCTTATCTGAAATTAGTTACACGAATTCAGATATGGAGCTTTAATAATTTGTAGTTACGCACAATCTACTTGTAATCTTGAGTTTTAAGTAATATGCATTAATAAACAGTACTTTATGCGTAAAATAGTTTTTAAGAGTTTTTGTCAAATGCTTTATAATATAGTATAGATTATTATTTTTGTATAATTTAATTTAAGTTTAATAATGAAATAATTTATTTTTGGTTTAATAATATAACATTTTATAAAGATAATAATTAAGTATTCTGTTAGAGCTCAATGATTATCCTAATTATATTTTAGATTTTTTTATATTTAAAATGAGACGTTTATTTTGTCTTTGATTGTGTTTATCTGCAGTTAGTTACACGAATTCAGATATGGGATGAAATCGGATAGGGATGAACGAGTTTAAGAGTTTTTAAGAGTTTTAGTCAAATGCTTTATAAAATAGTATAGATAAATACTCACATTTTATATTCTTATACTTACAGATTAAATGTAGAAATTGTATGTATTAAAAATAATTTGAGAGTTGTCTCGCGCCCCTAGGAATTCTCTACCAGCGTTCTTAAGGCCTAAAGAATCGGCGGAAAAAAGGGGTCTTCATATGTATCATTTTTTGGTCCAACGAAATTCATAGGTATAGAAGAAACCCCATCAAATAGAGATTTTTGGTATCTTATTGAACAAAAATGGTGATATTGATCAGGTGATATAGGAACAAGGTTAAAGTCTACCGATCTGTTAAAATGTCTCAACTGCATATATCAGTACTCTTCCACTTGACACCTATCGTAATGATAAATGACTTATCTTGCCTCCCTAAATTTGATTGATGTAATGATTCCCTGGGGCGATTTAGGTGGTATCCAATGTAGATCTAACTTTCGATTCACTCGTGGACCCCAAAATAGCATATACTACGTATTTATGATATTTAATATTATGATTAAAACCAACAAAATATTCAATATTATGATCATTTTGAACGAATTGACAAGACAATTATAATGATGTAATTTGCAAAAAAAAAAAACGTATTTTTTATGTATTTTAGTTACTATAAAATTATATGTGTTAATATAATACATGTGTAAAATGGAAAATGGAAAATGAATGAATATAAAGTAAAAGGAAATGTATTAAAATAATCATTTTTTTCATCTCCTAGCCATTTTATTTCTAAGCTTACCAAAATAACCATATGTAGGCAAACTACCGAAAAGACAAAAAGAATTACATTTTCTCCTCTATCTGCAAAAAAAAAAATTACATTTTCATCCAAGTCCGCAAAAAATTAACATTTTTCACTCAGGTCCGCAAAAACAATTACATTTTTCACCTAGATCCTGAAAAAAAAAAATTGCAGACCTAATGCTATTTTGGTAAACCTTGTAAAGAATTGGCTAATAAGTGAAACCAACTGGTAAAAATGACTATTTTAAAAAATTTCTCTAAAGTAAATTAAAAGGCTAATTATAATAGTGCACATAAAATGTTTTTTCTATGTAAAGATGTTTTTATTTGTTTTTTTACTTAAAAATAATCTTTACACAGGAAAAAAAACATGTGCATAAAGATCATATGTAAATTTTGACTATTTGAAGAATTTAATTCCTCAAATAGCTAAAGTAAAAACGAGATTAACTATTTTCTTCAATGGGAAAAGTCTAAAAAAACTCAATGGACTTTAGTGTTTGGAATGATTAAGTTCTTAGACAATTTTTTGGAACAAATAAGTCATTGGACATTACAAAACATGTTAAATAACTTATTGGACAATTTTTTGGAACAAATAAGTCATTGGACAATTTAAAACATGTTAAATAACTCATTAGACAAATTTTGGAACAAATAAGTTCTTGGACAATCCAAAACATGTTACATAACTCCTTGGACTTTTCTAAAACATGTTGGATACATTCTTATGACTTGTATAGCTAGTTAAAATGGTAAAATATTGGAAAAAAAAATCCGAAAAAACCCCAATGAACATTCATATTTTGAACGATTAAGTCCCTAAATATTTTTTGAACCAAAAAGTATTTAGATCTATAAAATTAAACAAGTATAACAAAAAAGTACTTACATTTACAAAAAATTAATTACATTTAAAATTTTTTTTTGATAAAATTTATTTTAATTAAAATAATTATAT